ACGGCGAGGAGCAAGCGGGGGAGGGAGGAGGGAGGGCGTGGCAGCGTGCGGGGCCCGGGGAACGTCCAAGGTTGAGGCCGGGCCGCGAGACGCGATCAAGGGGGGGTGCCCGAGGGGCGCTCAACGTTGGAGCTGTGGTGTCCCGAGGCGCCCCCGCGGCCGCGGGACGCGGTCAGTGGGGGGCGCCCAGGGGGCGCTCAACGTTGGAGCCGTGGTGTTCCGAGGCGCCCCCCTTGCACGAGACGCGGTCAGTGGGGGGTGCCCGAGGGGCGCTCAACGTTGGAGCCGTGGTGTTCCGAGGCGCCCCCTGGCCGCGAGACGCGGTGAGTGGGGGGCGCCCAGGGGGCGCTCAACGTTGGAGCCGTGGTGTCCCGAGGCGCCCCCGCGGCCGCGAGACGCGGTCAGTGGGGGGTGCCCAGGGGGCGCTCAACGTTGGAGCCGTGGTGTCCCGAGGCGTCCCCGCGGCCGCGAGACGCGGTCAGTGGGGGGCGCCCAGGGGACGCTCAACGTTGGAGCCGTGGTGTCCCGAGGCGCCCCCGCGGCCGCGAGACGCGGTGAGTGGGGGGCGCCCAGGGGACGCTCAACTTTGGAGCCGTGGTGTCCCGAGGCGCCCCCGCGGCCGCGAGACGCGGTCAACCTGAGGCGCTTGGGGGGCGATCCAGGTTGGAGCTGTGGTAGCTTAGACGCCCCCCAGCCGTGGGACAACAGGGTTCCCGTCGGGGCCCGCGTGCCCCCCGGCTCTGCGGGGCCTCGCAAGGGGCCCACGAAAGTGGCGGCGGCTGCGCAGCTCGCAGCCGCCCAGCGCAGGAGGAGTAGAGAAGGAGACAGACGGCAGGGGGAGGGAGGCAGGGAGGAAAGGGAGGCGGGTGGTGTCGAGACCGCCGTGCTCGATTCAAGACGAGAGCCCAGCACGGGAGAGGTTAGGATATAAAGATAACATCGAATTATACATGTTCATATATTAATGTATATATATGTATATAAATACACATATATGCAAATACATATATATATATATATTGTCGATTCTCGCTCTCGTTTGCTGCTCCTCTTCCCCCTCATCCCCACTGTAGCTACAGCGCAGCGGCCTGCTGAGTCCTGAGACGAAGTGTAAGCTGAGTCGCGCGGGCACGGCAGCCCCACGGCGCTGCCCTTGCCGCGAGCAGGTGAGCGCGGTCCACGCCATCATCCCAACATTGTTTTTTTCCTCCGCGCCTGTGATTACGTACTCACGCCTTGCATGTTGATTTTGCGCCCCCGCCACGGGCAGGTGGGCAATGGCAAATCGCCTTCATGCCTCCTCCACTTGTTCTGTCCCAGGTCCCACTTCCTTCCGACAAATTGGAGACACACCCGTAGTGTTCCCCTCGGCGGACTGGGTACAAACATGGCCGGGTGGGCAAAAGTGGCTATTCACGCCGGGTTTGTTCGGACGTCGAGCCTCTCAAGATATACCCCGCGATGTTTCCAGAAATGTTCTGACGGAGTCTCTACGGATGCTCCCTCAGTGGCCGCCAGGAACAGGTCAGATCTGAGGTCTTCAGGATTAGACAGGCCTCCGCGGACCCCTGGTGCTGAGGCAAGAATGCATCCTGCGGGCGTGTTCGAAATTTGGACGTTCGGCCTCCCTGCCTTGGCCTTGGTTGGGTAGGAATTCCGCCTGGTCAGCTTGTTGCCAGGGGGCCCAGGGCCAGGGGCCGCGACGTGCAGCCTTGGCCGTAAATGGGCAGGCCTTTCACCTCGTCTGCTTGTTACCAGAGTGCCCGTGGCCAGGAGCCGCGAAGTGCAGTCTTGGCCTTGGGAGGGTAAGCCTTCCCTCTGTGTCTGGCATTGCCCGAGGGCTCAGGGCTATTGGCCGCGAGGTGCAGTCTTGGCCGTGGGCGGGTAGGCCTTCCACCTTGTCGGCTTGTGGCCCGATTACCCAGGGCTGAGGGCTGCGAAGTGCAGTCTCATGGCGCCAACATTGCAGAGCGGAGCTTGATCGGAAAACAATGGGATGGGCCCAGATAGTCCTGGAGAAGTTCGCTTCGGATTTCGAAGTGAATTCGTGCGCACTCCTTGGGGCCAGAAATCAAGACCACAAAAAATCCATGTGAAACTCACTTCGTTTTTCGCTCGCCGTTTCGGGGTTCTGCATCGACGGAAATCCACGCATAAGTCCGTTGCAGCACGTCTGCAAGGTCGGCGCAGTGAGCAGTCTTGGCCGTGGGCGGGTAGGCCATCCACTTTCTGCTTCGGGGGCCCAAGCCTTCCTCCTCGAATGCGAGACTGGCCAGCGAGCTGCTGAGACTTGTTCCGCGCACGGCGAAGCAGCCTCTTTCGGCGGCTGCGCCTGCTCGTCCTGCTCGCACCCTGCGCGCAGGCTTCCGGCCGCCTCGACGCGGCGGCGACGCCAGCGTTTGACGTTGTGGATGGACGCTTCTGCTTTTTGGGGGGGGGGCCTCTAAGGACTTCCACGGGACCTCTAAGGACTTCTCCTCTGCGGAGGCGGAGGAGGAGGAGGAGGAGGAGGAGCCTTCCGCAGGAGGACTTCTCCCCCGCAGGTGGAGGACTCGGGGCCGAGCCCTGCGTAGGAGGAGGAGGAGGAGGAGGAGGAGGAGGAGGAGGAGGAAGAGGAGGAGGAGGAGGAGTAGGAGGAGAGAGAGGAGAGGAGGAGGAGTAGGCAGGAGGAGGAGGAGGACGAGAGGAGGAGGAGAAGGAGGGAGGAGGAGGAGAGAGGAGGAGCAGGAGGAGGAGGGGGGGAGAGAGGGGGGTGAGGAGGAAGGAAGGAGGAGATGGGAGGAGAGGAGGGGAGGAGGAGAAGGAAGGAGGAGGAGGATGAGGAGGAGGAGGAAGGAGAGGAGGAGGAGGCGGAGGAGAAGGAGAGGAGGAGGGGGAGGAGGGGGAGGAAGGAGGAGGAGAGAGGAGGGAAGGAGGAGGAGGAGGAGGAGAGGAGGAGGAGGATGGAGAGGAGAAGGAGGGAGGAGGAGGAGGAGGAGGAGGAGGAGGGGAAGGAGGCAGGGAGAGGAGGAGGAGGAGGAGGAGAGGAGAGGAGGAGGAGGAGGAGGAGCGCCGGAGCAGGATGATGAGGAAGGAGGAGGAGGAGGAGGAGGGGGAGGCGGGGGAGGAAAGGAGGAGGAGAGGACAGTAGGGATGAGGAGGAGGCAGGTAGGAGGAGGAGGCGGAGAGGAGGAGGAGGAGGAGGGGGCAAGCCCTGCGTGCAGGAGGACTCGGGGCCGAGCCCTGCTTCTCCTCCCGGGGACCTCTGCGGACCTTTCCGCGGGCCTCCGGGACCCTGGAGGCCTCCGGCAGGCCCGCGCCGGCTCGGCGGGGGCGGCGACGCTGGCGCGAGCGCGTGCGAGGGTCGAGTGCCGCCCTCGGGGGGCCCGTCTCGGGGCCCAGGGCCATCACAGAGCAACCGTTCGCGCGAGGAGGTGCATCCTCCTCCTCCTCTCCTCCTCCTCCTCCTCCTCCTCCTCCTCCTCCTCCCTCCTCTTCTGCTCCCCTCCACCTCCTCCTCCTCCCTCCTCCCTCCTCCTCCTCCTCCTCCTTCCCCTCCCTCCCTCCTCCTCCCTCCTCCTCCTCCTCATCCTCACCTCCTCCCTCCTCCTCCTCCCTCCCTCCTTCCCTCCCTCCCCCCTAACCATCCCTCCCTCCCTCCCTCCCCTCCCTCCCTCCTCCCTCTTCCTCCTCCTCCTACTCCGGCAGCGAGCGGGGGGGGGGGAGGGGAAGTGAGAAGGAGAAGGCCTTCTCAGAAGGCGGCGGGACTCCTCAGAAGGCCGCCGGCCTTCTGAGAGGTTTTCGGTGTCTTCGGGGGAGCCTCGGCAAACTTCTCAGAGCGCGGGCGGCCTTCCGAGATCTTCCGAGCCTGTCGAGAAGGCCCGCCCCTTCTCACCCGCCACCCAGGGCTGGCCGCCGACGCGCGGAGGCAAGGGTGAGACCAGGGCCCGCGTCGTCGAGTCAAGAATCTGACGTACCTTCCCGTCGTTTCAGCATCAGCGCGGAGGTTCTCCTCTGCGGAGGAGGGGGAGGAGGAGGAGGAGGAGGAGGAGGAGGAGGAGGAGGAGGAGGAGAGGAGAGATGAGGAGGAGGAGGAGGAGGAGGAGGGGGGAGGAGGGGAGGAGGAGGAGGAGGAAGGAGGAGGAGGAGTAAGGAGGAGGAGGAGGAGGAGGAGGCGGAGGAGGGAGGGAGGAGGAGGAGGAGGAGGAGGAGGAGGAGGAGGAGGAGGAGCCCTCCGCAGGAGGACTTCTCCTCCTCAGGAGGAGGACTCGGGGCCGAGCCCTGCGTAGGAAGAGGAGGAGGAGGAGGAGGAGGAGGAGGAGGGGGAGGAGGAGGTTCTAAGTGGGGTGCCTCGCTCGGCGTGTTCGGTAGTAGCTCGCCTTGCCTCCCCGCCTCTGCGGCCGCCCTGCTCTGTCCCGTTTCCCCTCCTCTCGCATGCGGGCCAATGCGCTACAACGGTGCCCCCGTTTAGTTACTTCAGATTTCGTAATAAAAGGGAGGGGGTCTGGACCCTCCAAGACAAGCCATTTCAGACCTCCCCCGTTGGAGAACCCTCCAAAACATCGTCCCCAGACCCCCCAGGCCCTCCAAGATAGCCTGGAAGAGACCACCCCCCGAAATGAGACCCCCCTCCCTTTATTACGAAATCTGGAGTAGCCATCCGCCAGCGCAGACGACCCCTGCCTAGCCGCCGACGAAAAAGGCTCGGTGGTAGCTGCCCAGGGTGCGCCACTCCATAACTCGCCCTCCTCGCGACATTCGATGTGATCCTGCCATCCCTCCTCTTCCGATCCCACCCTCGCTGGGCGGAGCCCATTGATGGCCATTGGGTTGCGGTTGCTTTATTCATGCAAGGCCACGTTCCATGCACACCTGGCTGATACTGCTCGTTATGATGAGGCGTCGCGATGCACTGATGTTATCGGCGTGTGCTTGGCCGTCGCTGCTGGCTGGCAGTAACATATTTCAGCGAACGCCGTCGCCGGAACCTGTCGGATCCCTCGTCCCTTTCCAGCCTGCAGGTCGGCGGGAAGGCCGTGGACGCCGAGTTTCCCTTAGGGAAGAGGCCGCCTCTTGTTGCGCGGCATTTGTGGTCTCCTATCTATCTTGAATGCTTCCACCTCTGGCATCCAACGATACCGCTTCTCTGCCAATAATGTTGAGTACAAACAGGTTGAGTCGAACGGTGCCCACCAAGGGGTATTGCGAATGTGTTTGAAAACGTATTGGGTCACCGCGCGAGTTTTTTGTTTTCAGCAGCGGCCGTGAAAGACCTGTGTGAAAAAGTGTGCGTACATGTATCTCCGGCAGGATATCAGACACGGTTTGTCCTGCATACGTGTGAGGCACGTATGTGTTCCATGCACACAGCTTGCAGTCGTTGCCTGCGCACCGTTCTTATATCTTACGTGCGTCTGTGTTTGCGTTGTTCGGCCTTGGCGCCCCGATCCGTCACGCATGTGCGTTGTGTGCATCTTGGGCGTATGTCGCGTGTGTGTTTCTTGTGTGTACGTGGTTGTGCACGGTAGGCCCGCGTGTTCTTTGCATCGCCCCCCTCATTAGGGGCTCCAGTGGGTAACCCCGAAATGCCTGGCGTTGCCTTTTCTCATTCTCTCTGGAAGCGCACCAAAGCTTTACGGGATGATTCGTCGTTGCTTGTTCCCCAGCGGTTGCGAGGCGTTCCTTAGGGCACGGTTCACATTTTGGGCAATGTGTGCATTTTGCCGTGTAGTGTGTAGTGGTATACGTTGCTTTGACGAGCGTGCACGTATATGTCTAGATGTAGACCGCGTGTATAACAAGTATTTACACGTGTGTGCAGTTTATGGGCGCATGCACATACATACATGTAAGTAAGTACACGTGTGTGTGTGTATATGTCCCCCACACAGTTGAAGAGGCCCTGGGACACACAAATAAATACAAGCAAATAGCAGGATTCCCCATATTTTACCATATCTTCCTGGGAATCGACGATTAATTGTGTCTGTGTGCTTTTTCCCCTCCTGAACAGTGCTTGCACTTCATGTTCTTTATTTCTGTCCTGGGGAGCTGGGCCCGGGTGCGGCCCTGACGGCCCCGTTGCCATCCGCCGCCACACCAGCTTTCCAAACAGAAGGCCCGTGTGCGGGCCCGGCGGCGTCGTTGCCGCCCCCTTGCGCCCCCCCTCCCAGCCCCGTTGCATCGGCCATGTTCCGCCGTCCTCCGCCCCATGTTCGCAGTCCTTTCATTCGTGGGGGGGAGGGGAGGGCACGGCCCCAAGGATGTGCGACGGTCAAGGCATGGTTGCGCATCCTTGGACGTGCCTTTATTGAGGCGTCTTGGATGTCCGTTGGGACCTCCTTCTCCAAGGTGCATCGTGTGGGTGGGCTCTGTATGTTCTCGACGGTGTGTAACGCAGGGAGCACCGTGCGTGCGACCGCGCGTGGGTGACCATGGTCACCCGCCTGCGTGTGTATGCGCGCAGAGCACTCTGTGCTACTTAGAAACGCAACGCCGCCATGCGGGCCTGGAAATGGAAGTGATCACCTCGCGGTGGCAGATAGGATTTCCAAGCTAACATGGTTTTTGTATGTTCCCTGCGATCGACAAGATTGAAAGCCCCACGCGCGCGAACGCGCGCGAACGCGCGCGGGTGACCATGGGCACCCGCTTGTGTGCGCGCTTAGGGCATTCCGTGTTCGTTTAGATTCGGGAAGTCGCCATGTTGGTTTGGACATTCAAGTGAACAAGATAGGGGTAGCCGATTGGATTTCCAAGTTAACATGGGTTCTTTCGTATGGATTCTACGATGGGTCATGCAGAGAACCCCACGCGAGGGGATTGGCGTCGGCAGGGGACTCTGGCGTGCGACTGCCGCGCGAAGAGACAACAAGGAGATGAGGGAGGATGGGGGCGAGGAGGAGATGACGAGGAGGTGGGGGTGGAGGAGGAGGAGGAGGAGGAGGAAGGAGGGAGGGTGAGCAGAAAGGGAGAGCTAAAGGGAGAGAGATGGAGGAGGGAGGGAGCAGGGAGGGAGGAGGAGGAAGAGGAGGAGGACGAGGGGTTCGTTTGTATGCTCCCTGTTATGGATCATGCAGGGGGCCCCAAGCGAGGGAATTGGCGAGGGTGGCCATGGTCACCCGCCTGCGTTCGCGCGCAGATCAATCACCCAGCGTTGTTTAGACTTACATACGTCGCCATGTTGTTTTGATTGTGCACAACGTCGCGCACCTGGGGGGCACCATTTAAGGATGCGGGCCAAGCAGGGCGCCCTTGCACATCCGTGCCGCCGCACTGCGCGCGCGGAATCGCACACCTGGGGCGCCACCGAAGGATACGGGCCATGCAGGGGGCCCCTTGCGCATCCTTGCCGCCGCAGTGTGCACAGCCCGGCACACCTGGGCCCCCCCCCCCCCGAAGGATGCTGACCAGGTGCCCTTGCGCACCCTTGCCGCCGCATTGTGCGCAGCGTGGCGCACTGGGGGGGGGGGGGGGCACCCAGGAATGCGGGCCATGCAGGGCGCAGTTGCGCCACCGTGCCGCCGCAGCCCGGAGCGTATCGCGCACGTTGGGGGCGCCGCTAACGTTGCGGGCCATGCAGGGCGCCTTGGCGCATCCTTGCCGCTGCAAGGTGCGCGCCGTCGCGTATCCGGCGAGCAACGCTTGGGGGTGCGGGCCAGGCAGGGCGCCTTGGCGCATCTTTGCAACCGATGCAGGCGCCGCCCACAGATGCCCTTGGGGGTAGGTGCCGTGCCCGCAGGGACGCGCGGCCTTCAAGGGCATCTTTGCGTTGGCCTTGCTTCTGGCCCAGGCGCAAGCTCGGCAAGGATGGGGGTGCTTCACGGTACCCTTGCATCCTTCGGTGTTCGGCTGCCCCCCGCTCGGGAATTGCCAACACGGCTTTTAAAGGCCTTTACATATTGACCGTGCGTCCTTACTATATTGTACAGTATAGAGTACATGAGTTACGTATGAGTGTTATGCACTTTGTTATGCTATAGTTCATGTGTGTTGGTTCTGCGTCCTCGTGTTGTAGGCTATTGCGTTCTGTGCTTGCCCCCGTGCTGGCATCGTGGTTGCATTCGCGTGCTGCCTGGATACATGCTGTATGCGTTGGTGTTGTACGAATTTGTTGTAGCACGTGCATTGACAACGCGTGCGATGTAAGTTGCTGTGTTTTGCCCGCCGTTGTCGTGTACATCATCCATTTGCGTACGGAACGCACGGCAGCCATTCATGTAGTCTGTAGCGTGTCTGTCTGACACAATGTGTTGGTAGGTGCCCGTGTGATTTACGCATGTTGCATGCGGTGCGCTCTCAGATCCTCGCCTCACAGCCAGGCACACTCGTTCTTCTATGGTCGCTTTCCCGCACGAGCGTTCCTCCGCCCCTTTCCCTTGTGCCCCAGCTCCCATCCCTCCCCCCGTCTCGCAAAACACCATGTTGACGATTGGGTACAGTCGGGGCGCTGAAGAAGGTACCCTTTTCGTTGGGGAGGGGCTCCGTGTTCCTTAATTGTTTCGCAGCTTGCCCTAGGTTTTCCTGAAGTTTTCGATCTGAAATCGAAGTTCAACTTATGAAGAATAGGGGCCTCGTTCCTTATTTAGGGTTCCCTAGGTCAACGCCCCGGCTGTACCTTCTTGAACGCCTGCGACGCCGATGTCGACGCAGACTGTACGATTATGCACAAAGCGTGGGCGCCCAAGCATGCATTGGAGCCGCGGGCGAGGGTGCAGCAGTAGCTCCCGGCACCACCCAGCGCAGTCGCTTTGCATCGCTCGGACGTGTGTATTTTCCCTTCGGCGAGGACCATCGAGGAGCATCCTTGATCATTTGGCGAAAAAGCCACGCACAAAACCGAAACAAACACAGGGAATGGACGTCCGAGCGATGGCGAGGTCGACCCTTGCCCCCTCCTTGCGCTCCACACTTGCTCATGGTTCCCTACCTAGGCTCTGCCTAGAAGGGTTCTTACTCTCTTAGCTTAAAGGGGCCGGGCAGTGTAAAGCGCCCCGGGCGGTTCCCCCAGTCCCCGCCCCGCGGTTCCCCCCAGTCCCCCGGGAGCTTTAGCTTTAGCTTTAGCTTTAGCTTTAGCTTTAGCTTTAGCTTAGCTTTAGCTTAGCTGTAGCTTAGCTTTAGCTTAGCTTTAGCTTAGCGTTTCGCTTAGCGTTTCGCTTAGCGTTTCGCTTAGCGTTTCGCTTAGCGTTTCGCTTAGCGTTTAGCTTAGATTTAGCTTAGCTTTAGCTTAGCTTTAGCTTAGCTTGAGCTTAGCTGTAGCTTAGCTGTAGCTTAGCTTTATCTTAGCTTGAGCTTAGCTTTAGCTTAGCTGTAGCTTAGCTTTAGCTTAGCTGTTGCTCAGATTTAGCTTAGCTTTAGCTTAGCTTTAGCTTAGCTTTAGCTTAACTTTAGCTTAGCTTTGGCTTAGCTGTGGCTTAGCTTTAGCTTAGCTTTAGCTTAGCGTTACTGTTACTACTAATGCTGCTTTCCTAGGGGTTCCAACTCCTAGGTAGGGTCGCACTGGGATATTTTTTGTACGTGCAGCATCCCGCTTTCACACCAGGTCCTCCCGCTCCCTCTCTACATCTTCTTGTGGCAGACGCGGCTGTTTCCCAGGCCGTTTCCAGACTTTTATGTCCAGGCCGACCCGACGAAGTTCTTCTGACCACCCTCCGTGAGCCAGGCTTGTCTTCTGATTGGCGGTGCGAGGGGACGGAGCGGATTGCGAGCGTCTCGAAACAGGTAACCGAAGAGACAGTGGGGAGAGTGGAAAGGAGGGACAGGGAGGATGGATGGAGGGAGGCAGCGGGCGAAAGCGGGAAGATACAGTGGAGACCCATGCCAAGAAACACCCTGCTTGCCTCCAGGGTGCCCTGGGTTTCTTGGGTTTCGATGGTTTTGCTGTGGAAGGCGCGACGCTCCCACACCAAAAAAACATGGACGTCCTGGGGTCTCAGGATTGGGTTTCTTGTGGAAGGTTTCTTGTGGACTGGCCTCCGCTGTAGATGGCATGGGGGGGGGAGCATGAGGGAGCAGAGAGGAGGGGGGGGGAGGAGCGGGACGGGAAGAAGGGAGGATAGAGGGCGGGGCGTGGAGGAGGATGAGGAGGAGGAGGAGGAGGAGGACGAGGAGGGCGGGGTGGGGAGGAGGAGGAGGAGGAGGAGGAGGAGGAGGAGGAGGAGAAGGAGGAGGAGGAGGAGGAGGAGCCTGAGGAGGAGGGAGGGATTTGTGGATTGCGACGCCGATGAAGTGAAGTTGGGAGCCCGTCAGCGGAGGCCGGCACGCAGCTCGCAGAACGTTCGTCAGACCGGAGACTTGGCAAGGGCGCCTCGGGAGCTCTAAGAGCAGTGTCCTTCCCTCCCCATACAGTCGGGGCCCTGAAGAAGGAACCCTTTTCGTTCGGGAGGGGCTCCGCGTTCCTTGAGTGTTTCGCAGCTTGCCTCAGGTTTTCCCTCGGTTTTCGATCGGAAATTGAAGTTTAACTTATGGAAAAAGGGGCCTCGTTCCTCATTTTGGGTTCCTTAGGTCAAGGCCCCGACTGTATGCCATCCCCGCCGAAGCACCCCACGCTCACATCAAGCAGCCGGGCCAGCATCGGGTCTCACACAGGAGCGACTGCGGTGGCCTGAGCATTCGGCCACTCGGGGGGGGGAGGAGAAGAGGAGGGGGGGATAAATAATGAGCAGTAACGAGAGGGAGGGGCGAGGTTGGGACACAGATCTGTCACCTCCGACCCGCTGGTCAGCGCAAGATGGCCGAAGAGTGGCAACGATGCGGCAAGGGAGCGAGGCTGCAATCGCGATCGCAATCACAATGACAGTGACGGCGGTCAGCTGGTAACGAAGGCGATCAATGGCGGTGGCACCACCGGCAAGTGGCGAGAACGCGCGGCAGGCTGTTGCGGAGGCTCTTCCTGGCCTCTCCAGGCTCCCACTCGCAGAGCACAAGCAGAGAGGCGGGAGAGGAAATGCGGGGGATGGAGGAAGGAGAAGGGTGCTTTAGTATTGCCGACTGGGCCGCAGAACAGGCAGGCAGGAAGTCTTTCCTCATCATCCCGCTAAGCTCCATCCCCGAGTCCTGAGCCTCTCAGTGGTCAACTATCGACCAAGCTCGGCCAAGCGCGCATTGACAAGCATATCGTCGCAACCGAATGCCCGAGAAGGCGGAGGAGCATGCGCACGCATTGGTCCTGCTAAGACCCATCAGCGCATACACATGTAATGCGATCGGCGAACACGTGTCTACTTCCACTGCAGTCCGCCACGTCTGAACGTCCAGGGGCTCCGATCTGCGGCGACCTGCACCTCGCAGCGTGAGCAGGGGGGCGAGCGCCATCCCAGCGGCCAGCACCACCTTCCAGTGGCTGCCCAGATGCAGAGTCGCGCTCCTGCACCTGGCGCGCGGTGGGGCCCGTAGTTACTTTGCATCTTCGAGGGACCTCGCCTGTCCCCAAAATGGGTGTCTTCTCTTGTGCCCAGCGCGGGCTCGATGCGGACTCGGCGCGGATTCGGCGTGCATTCGACGCGGATTCGACACGGATCCGACGAGGCCGACATGGACTCGACACGGATTCGGCGCGGATGGGACCGCGACGGGACAGAAAAGGCCCCCCGAGGATGCAGCAGAACCGTAGGCTGCCCTGCCGCCTGCCCCGGGCCCCGACGGGGCGCCGGGGGGGGAAGGCCCTGGCCGCCTCCGCGCGCGGAGGGCCGCCCGACGCAGCGGCGGCATCCGGCCGAGAGAGGCACGAGCGGCGTCCGCCTGCGGCACCCCGGCAGGGGGCCGCGGGAGCAGCGGCCGCCCTGGAGCGGGCGGGCGGGGCCGCGGAAGGCGCAGCGCGTCGGGCGGCCGCGCGGGGCCACGAGCGGCAGCACCCGCGGGAGGGCAAGGAGCACCGTCGCGGTCGGGCACGGCGGCCCCACGAGCGGGCGCGGGCCCGGGACGAGGGAGTGGACCAGGACCTGGCGGGGCGGGCGCAAGGGCACCAGGAGCCCTCCTCCTCCTCCTCCTCCTCCTCCTCCTCCTCCTCCTCCTCCTGCTCCTCCTCCTCCTCCGTGTCGCACCCCGAGGCCAGTCGGAAGGGCGGGGCTTGGCGTTTCGACCGAGGGGGCCGGGCTCGCGGCCAGAACGAGCTGGGCCAGAGCGGGCGAGGGCGGCCGCGCCGCTCCTGCGAGGCCGGCGGGCCGACCCGGGCGGCACGGCCGAGCCTGCCCCAGACAGCCGACGTCGTGGGTGTCTCGAGGCGGCTTCCCCGGAGGCCTGGACCTTCCTTTCGGCATCGCTCGGACGTGTGCATTTTTCTTTCGGCGAGGACCACCGAGGAGCATCCTTGATCATTTGGCGAAAAAGCCACGCACGAAACCGAAAAAAGCACAGGGAATGGACGTCCGAGCGATGGCGAGTCCCTGCGGGGGCGGCAGCTGCATCTCCCGAGCAGTCTTTGGCGCCGGGCCCGGGGCCCGCCGAGGCCAGGCCCCCCGGGGGCCAGAGCACCACGAGAGTAGGGGAACGAAAAGTGACTTTTACATAAAAACTCGGAGGTCCGCGCGGATTTCTCGGATCGGCGCCGGAGGCGCCGCCGGGGGGTCCCAGCGCGGATCCGAGAAATCTGCGCGGACCTCCGAGTTTTTATGTTTATGTCACTTTATGTTCCCCTGGAGTGTCTCGAGACACCCGAGGCCGGAGCACCACGAGAGACCTCCGCCTCGGGCGTCGCGAGACGTCGGAGGCCCTGGGTCGCGCGGCTCAGTGCGGGGCGGTCGGCCTCGGTCGGCTGCAGCGCCAGCCGGAAGCACCTCGTGGCGCGCGGCCGCCTGCGCTCGGCGGGGGTGGCGCCCCGCCAGCGGGCGGCGCGCGCGGCGCGGCTGTCCCGAGAGGAGGCTCGCAACCATGTGGAGGAGCTGCGCCGGGAGCCTCGGACTGGAACAGGGGCTGGAGGGAGGGAGGGAGGGGGCAGCGGGGAGGGCGAGACGAGAGGGGGGAGGAGGAGGAGGAGGAGGAGGAGGAGGAGGAGGAGGAGGAGGAGGAGGAGGAGGAGGAGGAGGAGGAGGACGGGGACGAGGAGGACGAGGAGGAGGAGGAGGGAGGAGGAGGAGGAGGAGGAGGAGGAAGGGGGGGAGAAAGAAATACGGGGAAAGAGTGGGAGATGGAGGAGGAGAGAAGGAAGGAAGAGGGTGGCGGGAGGGAGAAAGGAGGAGGAAGAAGCCTGGTTTGCTTCCAGTGGTTTAATGGAGAGCCTCGACACTGTCAGTGAGTATCTTGCTCCGTAAGAAGCGCCGAACGCGCGTACTGCTGATCTGGTCGTGTTGCACCGCCGTGGTGAACATGTCATTGCTGCTTTCCGACCTAATCGTATACATGATCCAGGCAAACACTAGCATCTGGATGTCCTCCACCCTCTCGCACTTGTAGTCTAAACTATACGCGTCAGGTGTGCTGGTCCGATGCGGGCACTCGTGGGGCGAAGTTCTCTTGAGTTGCCTGGATGTTGTCAGCAGTTGTCCAGCATGGCCAACATGATACCACGTTCATATCATCTGCGCCAGTCATTTTTCTGTCCACGTCATTGGCTGCTTTGCTGCAAAAGCCACGGCTCCTGATGGCACCGTGGCTGATTGCACAGTCCCGCATCAAGTCTCGCAAGCACAGGCACATCGAAACGAATTGATGCCAGGCTGTGCATCCTGCCACCGATCTGAGCATGGTGCCCCAGCGGCGCGGTGCTGCGAACGAAACAAGAGAGGTGGATGTGTGTTGCCTTGACTGGGAACGGTCATTGCGAATGCATGCTCTTTGGTGGCCAGTACAGGCCTCGGAACAAATTAGCGAACACATGCCACATTCATCCGTCAACGCTTCCCCCCCCCCCCAATGTTCAAAGCTGGCGGTGGGTCTGATGAGATGCACTTCGACCGCAGTTTCACCCGCGCGTGCCAACATTGAGTTTGGGGGGGAGGGGGAGTGTTCAGTACTTGTTTCCCTTTACCGTAGCACTGCCCAGAGGGGCAAGACTGGAAGCAACGCTTTCGGGAACCTCCCAGAACAGCAGCAGGACAACCAACAGCCCTGCGCAGGGGAGTCGGGCGTTGGCCTCGCCAGCCTGGGTACCCCTGGAACCGATCTGGGAAGCGGCGCCGGGCCAGGAGAGAGGGAAATAATAGTAATCCTCCTCCTCCTCCTCCTCCTCCTCCTCCTCCCCCTCCTCCTCCTCCTCCTCCTCCTCCTCCTCCTCCTCCTCCTCCTCCTCCTCCTCCTCCTCTCCTCCTCCTCCTCCTTGTCCTCCTCCTCCCCCCCCCCTCCTCCGAGGGGATACCGAAAGGAGGAAAAAGAGAGACCCAATAGCCTAGCTGATGCTAAGGCATCAACTGTCACGGCGGCCGACCGTAATTTGGGTTTTGCTCCCCCGTGCTATAGCTACAGAAACATGTGTTGGCCCTCCGAGTGGTGGAAGGAAAGCATTTGATCGTGTGATAGGGATTCGTGAGGATGATATCGTAGTTGGCTGCGCTGCGAGATGATACGGTGTTGGCAAACCGTGGCGACACATAAACGATGCATCGTTTGTTGAACGGAAGCAGGCAAGAGACGGGATGGAAGCCCAGCCTGGGGAGGCTTCCCCACAATGGATTATTGGGATGATGAAATATGGGCACCCTTCGCCTGCAA